TTAAAATGCTCAGAGATCCAGTGCAAACATGACGGACCGAATAGCCTCCCTCCAAATTGTAACAATCCTGTGATTCTGTCCTATGAAAAATTAAAGCAGGCTCACTGGGGTTTTCCAGTCACCTTTCTGGATCTCGTCTTGGTGGAGGTCAGCTTAGGAGTCTGGGGGCTGGTACTCAGAAGCATGCAGGGGTGGTGGGGGATGGTTATGGGTGAGGTGAGGTAACGTACTAGAGTGGATGTAGGGGCCTGAGTGGAAGAGCAGGGTACAGACTGCCTTATGGAGAGCTTCCACCTCCTGCCTCTCCCTCCCACCCCTCTCTCCCCCCACAGCGGTAGCCTTTCTGCTCGTTCGATTTCTTACACAAAGATTCTAAGAAGTTGGAGAGTTGAAGCCCCCTACAGTTTAAGTTGAGAGGGCAAAGATTTAAAAAGGACCTGAGAGGTAACTTTTTCATGCAGAGGGTGGTGCCTGTATGGAATGAGGTGCGAGAGGAAGTGATGGAGGCTGGTATAATTACTGCATTTAACGGGCATCTGGGTGTGTACATGAATAGGAAGGATTTAGAGGGACATGGGCCAAACGCTGGCAAATGGGACTAGGTCATTGGAATGTCTGGTCGGTGCGGGCGAGTTGGACTAAACAATCTGTTTCCGTGTTGTATGACTCTATGACTCTCTTACTTACCTTCTACTGCAACCTTCTTCTCTTCTTTAAGCTGGAAAGCCTTTCATGAGCCCCCTGGCTTTGAGAAGCAGCCTACCCACTCCTTGCTGCCTGGAGAATCTGTGTCCGTGACAGTAGACCCCCATGAAAATCCTGGTGTGGAGCCGGGAGGTGGGTTCGGCATCATGGGGAGCTGCCTGCTTGGTGTTTCCCACCTGTGTTGGGAAAATCTAGCCTTTGCCTTCTCACCATCCTCTCATTCTTAATGGTACCAATTCAACCTGCTATCTCATGTAGTGCAGCCAATTCCAATGTACCTTGTGTCAATAATTAACACTGTGATTTTTGTGATTGTCTGAGGCCTCTGTAAATGTGCAGCCATAGGCCATTGTTCTAACAGCTCCATCTGATTCTAGCCCCTCTCTGCTGAGCAGTAGTCTGCATTAGTATAATATGCATTGTGTGGATTTAACACCTCTACAGCTTGACTTAATCACAATGTTTTCACCCAAATCACCTTAAATTATTTGATAAATAATCAAGACTCCCACTGTTTAGAATATAGAATATAGGCATACAAATCTTGGAACTTAAATTATGAGTGGACCCCCATCTCTTCTACCTGCCTTTGCTCCATATCATTTCATAGCTAAAATTGACAAAAGATTGTTCAATTCTGGTCTTAACAAAGAAATGACAGCCTTTTTTCGGAGAGAATTTCCTGTTTCCACTATCTTTTGTGTGAACAAGTGCTTTCTAGTTGCTCTCCTGAATGGCCCAGCTCAGACTCAAAGATTAGAACTCTGTTCTGGATTTCCCACCAAAGGAAGTTCCTACTGTATCAAATCTCATCAATTTTTATCGGGAAACATTCACAGGTTGGGCTAGAGGGAAAGCGTGATGGACAAAGTGCAAAACCTGCGCAAACGACATGTCATAAGAATATGAATCGAGCGGTTTAGGCCTGGAAGGGAAACTGCAATGCTATACACACAAATTCCACCAAATAACTTCACTTTGAGGGCCATGAATTTGCAGGGAGAAAACTGCTGCACGTATGAAGAAAGAGAAATTGTGGCACTTTGTGGGTAGAAGAATATGAATAAGTTAATTGTGGACTGTGTGAACGTGAAACATTACGAACTGAGGTTAATGATGTTAAGGTGAGGAAAAGGTATTGATGTCAGCAATTGGATGCATCATAGAAAGCATCCTGTCTGGTATGGTATCACAGCATGGTATAGCAACTGCTCTTCCCAAGACCACAAGAAACTACAGAGAGTTGTGAACACAGCCCGGTCCATCATGCAAACCAGCTTTCCATCCATTGTCAGGAAAGCTGATGTTTCGGGTCTGGACCCTTCTTCAGATTTTCTGAAGAAGGGTCCAGACACAAAACGTCAGCCTTCCTGCTCCCCTGATGCTGCTTGGCCTGCTGTGTTCATCCAGCTCTACACCTTGTTATCTCAGACTCTAGCATCGGCAGTTCCTACTACCCCTTCCATCCGTTGACTCTGTCTACACTTCCTGCTGCCTCGGGAAAGCAACCAACATCATCAAAGACCCCTCTCGCCCCGGTTATACTCTCTTCCACCCTCTTCCATCGGGCAGAAGATATAAGTACATATTTGAATACATGTACGAACAGCCCCTTCCCTGCAGTTATCAGACTTTTGAACAGACCTCTGAAATGTTAATTCTGATCTCTGTCTCTTTCTGCACCTTTTCTGTGGCTGTAAAACTGTATTCTGTTCTGTTGTGCTGATGCACTTACTATGGTATGATCTTTCTGGAGGGCATGCAAAACAACACTCTTCACTGTATCTCGGTACGTGTGACAACAATAAATCAAATCAATCAAGAGAGATGGGACTTGGAATTTTATGCTCGAAAGAGGAATGCATGTGGGTTTTCAAACATGACGGTAACAGGCAACTTCCAATTTGCCATGATAAGTTAGAAGGTCTGCTTTGGGAATGAGGACAGTTAGAACATGTTCCTGGACTTTAGAATTGACTGGCATTTTTGTGACCGGTTGGGACACAAATGTGTGATAGCAGAGGCATAGATAGAGTGGATAGCCAGAGACTTTTACCCAGGGCAGAAATACTATAATGAGAGGACATAATTTTAAGGTGAGTGCAGGAGGATATAGGGGAGATGTCAGAGGTAGGTTCTTTACACAGAGAGTGGTGGGTATGTAGAATGCACTGCCAGCAGTGGTAGTGGAGTCAGATACTTTAGAGACTTTTAAGCGACTCTTGGATAGGCACATGGAGGATAGTAAAATGTAGGGAATGCAGGGTAGTTTGATCTTAGTAGGCTAATAGGTCGGCACAACATCGTGGGCCAAAGGGCCTGTACTATTCTACATTCTATTAAATATAATTCCGGATAACAAGCAATTGCCAAGAGATGAAATATCAATTGCAGAGCAGCTTGGAAACTGTGGTTACAGCATAGTGGGATTTAATCTGTAGGCAAATCAAGACTGCCAACTTGAAAGAGGATGAATTTTGAGCAGAAACGTGAATGATTGTTCATGGGCAAAGTGCAAAGAATAGGTGCAGTAGTGTCAAAAATACAGTCATCACAGAGTAACTGCTGGGTTTCTGCAGAAGGGTCTAGGCCCGAAACGTCAGCCTTCCTGCTCCTCTGATGCTGCTTGGCCTGCTGTGTTCATCCAACTCTACACCTCGTTATCTCAACTGCTGGGTTGGCTTGGCAGACAAGTATAGATGGGTACTGTGTGGGTACTGGTAATGCCATGCAGTGGAGAGAGAAGAATAATGACCTTTGCTCAAAATCAGGTCAACAGACACGGCAGAGAATGGAGGTGAATCTTTCAATAATATCAAAAAGATTGAGAAACTGGTGAGGACTTAAATAGGAAACATGTGAAGATTGATGGAGCGTAAAAAGAAACGATTTTAAATATATTCTATATGGGCAGAGAAATAAAGATTCCAGGGGAAAAAACCCATTAACTCGAAGGAACCCCAGTGTAACATGATTACAAGTGACCAAGGACATGCGGGGTATCCCAGATTATTCCTTTATGTCTGTGGTGTTCATCCTGAAGACCAGGGGCAAACTTGGGAAGGATGAAGAATGTCAGAAATGAAGAAAAGGTTAATAAACATAGTCTCACTTAATGAATGATTTTGCTGAATTGATCAGAAACAGGAAAGATATCTGAGGATCAGGGAAGGATAAGTGTAAGGACGTTTTATAAATAAGGGGCCTAAAAATAACCTGAGGAGTTACAGGCCAAATTCAAGACAAAGGGGCAAGAGGTGAGAAATGGAAACCAAAGGAAGGGTGTCTGAATATTCTTATTGGAGGGACATTGCATCCTGTGAATCTGTTGGACTTCTCCAAGGAGGAAATGGACCTTAAAGATTAATGAAACATGTGTTAAAAGCAGAACTTCCAACTATCCTGGAGAGATTGACTAGGTATCTCTGCATTTCAGCAAATGTATTATAGTTGTGATTCTGCATCCTAAGCTTTTCTTTAGCCATGTCAGGCCAGGGTTTTAGATACAGTTGATGACAGTGTGACAGGCAGGTAATCCATTTATGATATCAATGATGTCCTTGGTGCTTTGTAACCATTTCAATTAACTCTTGCATTTGGAGGAATCTTGCACCCACCTCCAAGACAGATTGGGTTGACTTTCCCACTGGCAGCGACTCTTTACCCGAACTCTTTAAATTTTGTATTGTGACTTGTTTCTCATTAACTCTCTCCATATTCCGTTAGAGTCTTGCAACTGAATTGATTGAAGTCAACTTTTTGATGATAAAGTAGAACATGTTCTTGGGAAAATCAAAGCAAGAATAGAGCAAAGAGCAATTTGGGTTTCCCTTAAGTACACTAAGGGAGACTTTCAGACTATTGAATTATATCAGTGAGGTAAATTGGGATAGTTTTTGAACTGCACCCACCTCAAAGTCCCATTGTATTCCCATTGGCTAGTCTCAGTTTAAATTGGGTTATTAGTCATGGTCACATGCAAGATTAACCTCTCTTGTTTTGTGATATTCACACTTTTTTCCCACTTCCACCGAGATATTTTGATACCAGTTGGGTCCCCTGGCTGATTTTGTTTAGCACCTTCCAGACCTAGGATGACTAGGACACTGACCAAGCAAATTTTGAGCTTAATTCCACTCCCCTTCATCTACTGTTTGGAGAACTGCAAGGAATTTCATTGACTGAATCATTTTTTGACTAAAATTAGATTTGCATTAATGATGTGCTCTTATTAAGGTTCGTTTAGTATTGCAAATGTTTAATTTCTGATCACTGTCTTGTTTAAAATGTTTCAGGTGCAAGGTTAACCTTTTGACGTTATCCAAGGGGGTGACACACTGTAAGGAGCTGTCTCTGGAGAATGGCCAGGGTTGTGTGGTTTTGTTGCTTATACTCACAACGTGCAACGGGGTCTCCATCTCTGACCCCTGTGTCAGCCCACTGCATGATGAGACTGAGAGGCAGCAGATTATTCAGAGATATGTAAGTACACCATATGACAAGAGTTGTTTAAAAGCCTTGACTTTAGATTACAAGTGCACACTTTACAGTCAACGCTAGAACTTAGGGGCATAGTCTCAAAATTAGGGGAAGCAGATTTAGGACTGAGTTGGGGAGGAACTTCTTCACCCAAAGGGTTGTGAATCTGTGGAATTCCCTGCCCAGTGAAGTAGCTGACGCTGTTTGTTGAATGCTTTTTAAGGCAAAAATGGATTTTTGGATGGTAAAGGAATGAAGGGTTATGGTGAGGGGGCGGGTAAGTGGAGCTGAGTTCACAAAAAGATCATGATCTTATTGAATGGCAGAGCAGGCTCAAAGAGCCAGATGGCCTACCCCTGCTCCTGGTTGTTACTTTCTTATTTACAAACTGGTAACAGAAGAGGGATGATTACTGTCTATAAGGAGAGGAAATACACCAGGCAAAGCAGCACCTTTGAGAGAGAAACGGGTAACTTTTTAAGTTAATGACAAACAACTTCTTGATCCGCAGAGGATGCTAGACCTGCAGAGTATTTCCAACGTTTTTTGCTTTTATTTCAGAATTTCAGCACTTGCATTATATGGAAGCTAACAAAAAGGATAACCCCTTTTTTCGGCTGATCTTGGCTCAGTGGTTTGCACTGCTACCTCTCAGCTCCAGGGACCCAGAACTCCACTTCCAGCTTTGAGCGACTATCTGTGTGGAGTTCTCCCCGTGTCTGCGTGGGTTTCCTCTGGGTGCTCCGGTTTCCTCCCACAGTCCAAAGATGTACAAGTTAGATGGATTGGTCATGCCAAATTGCCTGTATCGAACAGGGATCGCAGGCCTACTTGGATTAATTATGGCAAATGTGGAGTTACAGGGATAGGGTGGGAGGCTGGGTCTGGATGGGATGCCCTTCAGAGGGTCAGTGCAGATTAGATGGGCTGTATGGTCTCTTTCTGGACAATGGGGATTTTATGATTCTATGAAACTGATCGGTTTAAACTCGGGTTCTGGCAAAGTAAGAGCAGGAAGACTCCAGCCTGTGTAGAACGCTGGATTTCAGAATAGCACAGAATCATAGAATCCCTACAGTGTGGAAAGAGGCCATTTGGCCCAATGAGTCTGCACCGACCCTCCGAAGAGGATCGCTTCCCATACCCATACCCCGACCTGTGACCCCTCATTTCCCAAGGCTAACCCACCTAATCTGCACGCCCCTGAACACTATGGACAATTTAGCATGGCCAATCCACCTAGCCTGCACATCTTTGGACTGTGGGAGGAAACCGGAGCACCCAGAGGAAACCCACACTGACACGGGGAGAATGTGCAAACTCCACATAGACAGTCACCCGAGGGTGGAATCGAAGCCAGGTCCCTGGCGCTGTGAGGCAGCAGTGCTAACCACTGAGCCACAGTACAGCCAGAAGGGGCCAGTCTGCCCATTAAGTTCATTTTGACTCTTTATTTATAATTCTGAATGATGAGAGTGCTATCGCTAGCTATTTAATCTCTATGCTGTTTGGGGTGCATTTTTAACTTGTGTTTTAATTTTGATTTTTCAGAGTTTGAGAAACACGTTGCAGGATCTGAGCAACATTGGGTTTCTGCAGGTTCAGGTGATAAAAGCTTGTAACTTGGCCGCAGCAGATTTTGCAGGTACTTTCTTGCCAACTTCTTTAACCTGGCACCCTTAATTTCTCACAGTCATTGCTTCATTCTTTGGTCCTCTCACCTCAATCTGCAATCCTTCCACACCCCCTCACTCTGCAATCCTTCCACACCCCCCTGCTATCTCTTCAGTTTAATATTTTCTTACATGGGGAATAATTTTGATTTGGGATGATCTTGGACCAGCCAGCTGGGTTAATGTTGCCTAATTTACACCAATGGCCAAAGTCAATGTTAGGTCATTGTTTCTAATGTCCTCTTGGTCCCACTGTTTGAATCACTTTCAGCCTTTCACATTTTTCCTCATTTTCTGCCCCCCCCATCAGGTTTTGTCACCATGGATGTCTCATTTCTTCTCTATCTTCCCACTCCTGCTCTTTTAATCAGATATTGGTAGACAAGGTAGTGAAGAAGGCACTTGGTAGGCTTATCTTTACTTGTCAGTGCAATGAGTATAAGAATTAAGAGGTCATGTTGCAGCTGTACAGTACATTGGTTAGGCTGCTTTTAGAATACTGTGTGCAATTCTCATCTCCCTGCTGTAGGAAGGATGTTGTGAAACTTGAAAGGGCTCAGAAAAGACTTACAAGCATGTTGCCAGGATTGGAGGTTTGAGCTAGGAGGAAGAGGCTGGAGCTATTTTCCCTGGAGTGTCGGAGGCTGAGGGGTGACCTTATAGAGGTTTATAAAATGGTGAGGGGCATGGATAAGGTGAATAGCCAAGGTCTTTTCCCCAGGGTAGGGGAGTCCAAAACTAGAGGGCATAGGTTAAGATGAGAGGGGAAAGTTTTAAAAGGGCCCTAAAGGGCAACTTTTTCACACAGAGGGTGGTGCGTGTGTGGAATGAGCTGCCAGAGGAGGTGGTTGAGGTTGGTACAATTAAACATTTGAAAGGCATCTGGATGGGTACATGAGTAGAAAGGGTTTAGAGGGATATGGGTCAAATGCTGGCAAATGGAACTCGTTCAGTCTAGGAGAGCTGGTTGGCATGGATAAGTTGGATGGATGGGTGTGTTTCTTTGCTGTACAATGCCATGACTATATTAGTTGTATTCCAGCAAACTATTCCTGCACCAGGAAACATGTTGATGTGTTTACGTTTATTGTTTACATTTTGCTTCCATCCTTAATTATTTTGCATCAGGAAGTTACCTCATGGTTTCAAATGAAATGTGCCTTCCTCCATCAGTGCCTTTGTGTGTGGCAAAGAATTGTCTTGCATTTGTGTGGCGCTTGACACAACCTCAAGTTGACACAAGCCCCTTTAGAGGCATTTAGGTACTTTGAAAATGTTGAAGGACTTCTGAAGTGCTTATTAGCTGTACAGTGCTTTGGGACGTCCTGTGTTGTGAGGGGTAATTTTATGTTTGCTCTCTCAGGAAAGCAATGTGATCATGACCTGTTTTAATGATGTTGATTAAAGGATAAATATTGTTAGAGACAGTGAGAAGATATTCCTCCCCACATCTTAAGAGTGCACTGGATCTGGGAAGGCAGGCAGATCCTTAACATACTGTTCCATCCCAAGTATTCCTCTCTGATAATGCAGTATTCCCTCATTACTGTACCAGAGTGACAGATTAGAATTTATCCTCTGGTCTGGAGACTTCATGTAAGGAATTCATTGACCATTTTAAAACTGGCAGTAAGCACTGGAGTGCACAGTCTTACAAAGGTGCTTGATCACGTATGGAAATGCTGGTTTGCACAGATATTAGTTAAGCGGAAAACTCTATTATGGGGCATGACAACTAGCCATGCATGATTACCTCTGATCATCCGTTTGCTCATCTGCAAACGGGAGGGTCTTTAAAATTCAAACTGGATGAGTAATGCAGCATCAGGAGCAAATCCATGAAGCATTTATTTTACATCAGAGGTGAGTCATATTAATAATGCAGTACCGTTCTGAATAAGGATCAGAGACACTGTGGTATTTCACTGTTAATGTACTGCAATCTTAACTCCCTGACAGTGAACTGTGGGAATAGGTCGACCATGTTCACCTGCCCTTCTGCCTTCATGATGGACTTCATGCAGATTAGGAGTTTGATTTGGTACCATATGGTGCCTGCAGTGACCCTGATAGGGGTGCTGCGCTTAGTAAACATATCAGACTCCTGTCTGTATGTCAAACATATTTTCTCCATATTGAGTGCTTTTTGTTTTGCTGTGGGATCGGAACTGTTCTTCAACTGAAACCATATGGAACCCTACAGTAAAGCAGGTTGTAATCGGAGTATTATCGATCACTGTTTGAAGCAGTGTTTTTCCTTGTTTGAAGAAAAATTAAGCACTTGGCGATGTGATTTGGTCATAAGGCAACCCATCCAAAATGTAAATTTCCTTATGGAAATAACGTTTGCTGCAAAAGACGTTGCTTGAATTCACTAGGAGTGACCGAAGCAGGTGGCATAGGTCCATTCTCAGGGGACCCTAGGCAAGTTCTTTTCTTCCTTATGTACTTTCGGAGGCCCGTGCGGCAGAAATGGTCAGTGCTGTAAAATTTGAGTTCCTGCAGAAGCATTCTCAGGCCATCCACCCACATATATGTGCACATGCACCCAGACAGAAAGACAGTCCCAGCTTGGAATCACAAGGCCGCGTAGAAAATGTGCCAGTATTATTAGGAGCAGACTTGTCTGTGAGAACAGGAATTTGTGAAACTAGTTGGAAGTTTTTATTTTATTGAATGAAAGGTTGTTGAACCCTCTGATGCGTTGACTGTCTAACATTGGCGTGATGGTTCAGTAGATTCCACCATGTATTAGTTTGCCCACTCATTGGGGGTCCCTCCATTTGAAGACAGCATCTACTCAGTGTTATGGTTCCTGCTGTGGATCTTCATGGAACTAAACAGTAAGATTTGTCAACCACAGACTTTTGGGCTGATGTGGCAGGATGTCCCATTGGACCCAGAATGTAATATTTCCTTCCCTTATATTTCTGCTTGTAATAATTGAAATTAAAATTTGCTGAAAAGAGAGGCAAGCTGCTGATGTTTTGCTCTTGCCCACATCAGGACAAATGCAAGAATGCCAAGTATTAAGATGTCGTGATTGGAATGCGGTCGGCTATTGAGTCTGAGTTCCCTAATTGGGGCTGTTAACCTGGGCCAATCAGGGAGCCCTGGATGACAGATATAAACAGGAGTCTCAGGGATTCTCCTCAATCTAGGGACTGGCTCTGATCGAGCTGGTCAGAATCCATGTATTGTGCACATGTAAATAGAGGGTGATTTGGTGATGGGATACCGGCTTATGGAGTTATTTCACAAACAATCATGATAAATTATACTGTATGAGAAAAAGATACTGTTTGGTTGGCAAGTTGATTCTGATTCTTTTATTAGTTCTGATGAGGGCAGGAGCATATCCTCCTTTTCAACGAAATTTTAGTTTTGTTCCAACAAGTGACTGTTTGTTTGAAATTTGAACCTTTGATCTGCGTTAATGATACATGGATGTTTCTCAGGAATGACTGAAGAGCAACAATTGCTAAGAAACACCTTTGTGAACTGAAGGATCGTAATAGAAATGTAGGTCGGCTGGACGATCCCTGTGTGCTATTCAATTGGAACATAGCCGACATTCAACGTCTTTCCACTTACACCCTCCAACTACAGCCACCACCCCGGACACCCTGAAATTTGAGAGAGAAACATTGTTGCCATATAATTGCAAAATAGACGGTAATGACGCTGTCAGTGATGGCACGCTGCAGAAACTCACTAGTGTTTTATCGTTTCGATTGATCAATAAGCATTACATTTCTCAATAAGTTCAAAGTATTGGGAGAAATCATTCAGATGTTTCATTCGAGGTTCTCCAATCATCATTAAACCAGCTCTGATTGACTGAGATAACAAGGTGTAGATCTGGACGAACACAGCAGGCCAAGCAGCATCAGAGGAGCAGGAAGGCTGATGTT